GCATATAAGTTACAATATATAAAATACATAAAAACAATTTAAGAATTCACTTCCATCCGGATGCGAGAGAGAGAATAAGGAATGAATCAGGAACTGCGAATAAGGAACCAACTTCAGCCTCCTCTTTCACTTCACATGTGACTGACTCAAGCAGCTGACTTGGCAATGGGGGAAAATACACTGCATATCAGAACACAACAGGGACACTACTTTGAAAGTAAACGAAGTGACATCACCTTCTCCTCCTTTTTTCTCCCCTTTTGTCTATTTGCCATGAAAGACAGGCCCACCAGTACCAGCAAATTAAAGCTTAGTTTTGCCTATCTGTACTTGCTGGATCTGTCTTCCTGGAATTTGGTTATGACACATTGTGTACTTATCCACACTCAGATTCCAGTAGAGTCACTCTGTTTGTTGCCTGCAGCCAAAATAACAACAAAGAGTCTTGAGGCACCTTAAAGGTAAAGGTTCCCTTGCTTGAAAGCCAGTCGAATCCAACTCTAGGGTTGCGGTGCTCATCTCCGTTTCAAAGCCGAAGAGCCAGCGCTGTCCGAAGACGTTTCCGTGGTCATGTGGCCGGCATGACTAAACACCAAAGCGCACGGAATGCTGTTCCCTTCCCACCAAAGTGGTACCTATTTATCTACTTGCAATTTCTTGCTTTCGAACTGCTAGGTTGGCAGGAGCTGGAACTAGAGATGGGAGCTCACTCCGTTATGCGGCAACTTGGGTCTCGAACTGCTGAACTACTGACCTTCCACAGCCTGCAGTTCAGCGTCTTAACCACTTGAGCCACCGCAGCTCCTTGAGGCTCCTTAAAGTCTATCAAACTACTTGAAGTATAAGCTTTCATGAACCAGAGACCACTTCATCAGATGCTGAATCTCATTATTTATTTATTTAATTTTATTTATACCCCGCCATCCCCGCACGCAGGCTCAGGGCGGCTTACATATTATTGATTACACATATTATACACTAAAGTTATACCACATTAAATTCACTGAAGGTAGCACTAGACTACCTTATTTTTGACGTGATGATAAATGGCTCTGTATGTCAGAGAGGGCATAAAGTCCAGAAAGATTGAGAGGCTAAGAGAATTGGATTTGCTTCAACCCATAGAATTTCCAGAAGCAAATCCAATTATCTTAGCCTCTCAATCTTTCTGGACTTTATGCCCTCTCTGACATACAGAGCCACCCCACCTCCAACCCTTCCCCCCCTATCCTTCCGATATAATATATAACCGGGAATCACTGTATATAACACTGGGAGTTTGTTATCGTCCACTAGATCAAAAGACAGAGGAGGATTATAAAATGATGAATGAATTCAAGATAGCAGCTAGACAAAAAAACTGTGTCGTAATAGGTGATTTTAACTACCCACACATTGATTGGGTCAATATGTGTTCTAGTCGAGAAAAAGAGATTGAGTTTCTAGACACTCTAAATGACTGTGCTATGGAGCAGATGATCGCGGAACCTACCAGGGGAGAGGCGATCCTTGATTTGGTCCTAAGTAACACTCAAGACCTGGTGAGAGATGTAAAAGTGATTGCACCGCTTGGGAACAGTGATCATAATGTTGTTGAGTTCAACATTTGTATGAATAGGGAATTGGCCAAAAAGACTGACACAACCACTTTTAACTTTAAAAGGGGTAACTTCTCTGATATGAGGGGACATGTGGGGAGGAAACTGAAAGGAAAAGTAGAAAGGATCAAAAACATTAGGGAAGCTTGGAAACTATTTAAAACCACGATCCTAGAAGCTCAGAAAAAATATATTCCGCAGGTTAGGAAAGGCACAAAAAGGTATAGGAAAAACCCTGCATGGTTAACAAACAGAGTAATGGAGGCTGTAAAAAGTAAAAAGAATTCCTTTAAGCAGTGGAAAGCTAGTCACAGTGAGGCTGATAAAACGGAACACAGGCTATGGCAAATAAAATGCAAGTCTGAGGTCAGGCAGGCAAAAAGGGAACATGAGGAGCATATAGCAAAAAACGTAAAAACCAACAATAAAACTTTCTTCAAATACATTAGAAACAGGAAACCAGCCAGGGAGGCAGTGGGGCCCTTGGACGACCAAGGGGTAAAAGGAGTATTGAAGGATGATAGGGAAATGGCTGAGAAGCTAAATGCATTTTTTGCCTCCGTCTTCACTGTGGAAGATGAGAAGTGCTTGCCCACTCCAGAACCACTGATTTCAGGAGGGGTGTTGAAAGACCTGAGTCAGATTGAGGTGACGAGAGAGGAGGTCCTAAAACTGATAGACAACTTAAAAACTGAAAAATCACCAGGCCCAGATGGCATACATCCGAGAGTTCTGAAAGAACTCAAATGTGAACTTGTAGATCTCCTGACAAAGATATGTAATCTTTCCTTAAAATCTGCCTCCATTCCTGAGGATTGGAAGGTAGCAAATGTCACTCCCATCTTTAAAAAGGGTTCCAGAGGAGATCCGGGAAATTACAGGCCAGTCAGTCTGACGTCGATACCGGGTAAATTGGTGGAAACCATTATTAAGGAAAGAATTAGTAGGCACAAGATCTTGGAGTTGTAGTAGATAACTCACTGAAAATGTCGAGACAGTGTGTGACTGCAATAAAGAAGGCCAATGCTATGCTGGGGTTTATTAGGAAGGGTATTGTAAACAGATCAGCCAATATCATAATGCCCCTATATAAATGGGGTTCAATGTGTCCAAGTGCAAGGTGATGCACATTGGAGCCAAAAATCCTAAATATAAATACACATTGATGGGTCTGAACTGGCAGAGACTGATCAAGAGAGAGATCTTGGAGTTGTAGTAGATAACTCACTGAAAATGTCGAGGCAGTGTGTGACTGCAATAAAAAGGGCCAATGCTATGCTGGGGATTATTAGGAAGGGTATTGAAAACAGATCAGTCAATATCATAATGCCTTTATATAAATCAATGGTGCGACCTCATTTGGTCACCACACCTTAAAAAGGATATTATAGCTTTGGAAAAAGTACAGAAAAGGGCAACTCGAATGATAAAAGGGTTGGAACACTTTCCCTATGAGGAAAGGTTAAAGCGCTTAGGGCTCTTTAGCTTGGAGAAACGACGACTGGGGGTGACATGATTGAGGTTTATAAGATTATGCATGGGAAAGAGCAGGTAGGGAAAGAGGTACTTTTCTCCTTT